TATTCCTCCTTCCTAGCTTTCTCTGTAAGTTTTGCATTCTGCCTCTCCATCCACCTCTTATGATCACGAGATTCAGCTTGCTCAAGATCAAACTCATCAGCATGTGGGAATTCCCTCCAACTTTTAAAAGTGTACCAAAAGTTATAAAATGCATCGACTTGTTTCAGCGAAGTACTTTCATCACCCAGAGTTGGCACTGGTTGGTTCACAGACCAACGCCCATTCCTCATAAAAGCTGGACCGAACACCTTGAAAAAATCTTGTGGGGTACAGTCTGTTGGGACTTCATCATCAAATTCATCTGATGAATCATAGATCCTTCTCTTTATAGGATCAATCAGAACCTCATATGCTTCTTGGATTAACTTAAAGTGATTCTCTATTTCATCCTTCTTGGCTTGTTTTGCATCTTCAGTCTCTTCAGCAAGAAGAAGAGCAGCCAACTTATCAGGATGATGCTTTAAGGCAGCCTCACGGTAGCTTTTCCTGATCTGATCCTCTGTGGCAAGGTACCTTAAGTGGCTCAATCCCAAGAGAGCATAGTGATCCTGTTGCTTACCTCCAGCACCAGATTTCTTTTTTCCTTTACTGCTATATGAATCAAATGATGGTATATGCGCCTTTTCATTATCATCAGAGACAATCTGATCCTCAGCATCTGCACCTTCCTCCTCACAACCAAGGACTTTTAGAGCAGCTGAATGAAAAGCATGTCCAGCAGGTTCAAATCTTAAAGCCTTGATGGGAAGGCAATTTGAAGAAACATAGATTGGCTGTCCATCTACAAGCTCTTCAGTGTAGGAAATAAGCCGAAGGCTTGTGAGGACTGCCATAATATTCAGAATAGATCAACACAATAATAACCAAGAATTACTTCAGCCCACTCCAGTGTCCCGTCTAATATATGAAATGTGACTGTAGCTCCAAAACTGCATAAACGAATGGGGCTCAATCAGTGAAGCTCATACAGGAGTTGCTGCAGACGCATAATAGAATAAACAGAAACATAATAACTTTTGCTAACTTGTGAAGGTGCCTCTAAGTTGCTAACTGGGGTAAGTTCCAGAGAGCAAAGCCCATAGTAAAAGACCCCAGGTTGTATGTGTCAAAGAAAGCAGTGTAGCAACAGCATCCAAACTATTAATAGGTGCATGTTCAATATGATCTTCATGTTCCTAATCTTTAACTGTTTCACGCAAGGTATTCTATTTGGATACCTTTAATATTCTGGCTTTGTGCACAGACTTTACTGAATGCCCAAGTACAAGTGATGTAAACGATAGTCGATGGATGATTGTGCCTTATTTTGGGAAGAAGGTAAAAGAAGCTTAATTAACAAAATCTATATGTTTTTCTTGTCCCATGCTCAAAGGTCAAAAGAACATGACTGAAAGATTCTACCCAAGGAGCTAAACTTTTATACCAGAAAAGGTAACTTCTGTACATTACCAGGTAGGACGAATAAAGATTCTTCGATTAATTTGGAAAATTCCTTTAAAAAACCTTCCTTTACAAGAATTGGATCCTTTTCTGGCCCTCTTTATTTTATCATGGCTAATGGTTCAAGAGAAGCACATGACTTAAAAAGAATTTTGCTAAATGTGTCAAACTGTTGTTTCCCGAAAAAATAAGACAAAGAATACCGTGGCGTACCAGGTAAGAAGAGAAAAGATACTTTAGTTAATCCTTCCAATTTGAAGATTCATTCAGCAAAACATATCTTTTTTTTTCCAGAAAAGGATTCTTTTTCCTACCAAATAGGCTAGTCTTCCCCTCCATACATCCCCCATACCAAGAAAAAAGCAATCTGAATGTCAAATTCTATGTTGGCAGGACAAAATAATGCATGCAACATGAAAGATAATGTACCCGAAAAGAGAACTCAATACAAAAAATTCCAAAGCACTAAAATAGTGCTAATGCAGATTGCAGATAAATAGATAGCTAACGAATACATTCAATTAATTGACTATCGAAAGATAAGAAAACAATAAAAATTATCTCATCTACATTTAAAGTATGTAGGGCTACATAAATTTCTTTTATCAATTCCAAATTTTCTTTATAACAAAGTCTCATTCGATGTATAACCAAGCGAACAAGAAAGAGTCACAACCCTACTCCAAGAGAAAAATGATAACAACTCAAAAGCAAATATCAAAAAGACCAGAAATCCCTCCCAATCCCTGAGCTACAACCTGTGAGAAAAGACCCTTAGCAAATTAGAGGGGTACAGTAAAGACTATCCATCAACAACTATGCAGCAAACGAAATGATCCGGAAAAAAAAAACAATCCTAAACATCGGGCGAAAACCAGCACTCCCCAGCACGCGAAAGCCAATGATTATCAAAGAATATAAGTTATATTTCAACGGGGACTAGAAGGGTTTAAAAGTTTATCAAAAGCAATAGGAGAGAATGAGATAGATGGCGGCTTCAAACTAAGAAATCGCAGCTGCCGAGTGCCACCGTTTAGCAGCTGGTAGGAGGTCGGATCGTATAGATAAGCTGGACCTCACACGTCGGCTAAGTAACAAGATATATATATGTATATATAGCAAACAATGAGCATGCGACTGAGATGCAAAGATAAAGGGGAAAGAATGATGAAGAAAAGTACTCACTGGAGCCACCAATCGGCTATGGAACGGAGAAAACAGAGGACGGCGTCTGGTGCTGGTCGTATACGTTTTCCGATTTGCAGCAGTAGCAACAGAGAGATGAGAAGAAGAGTGGAGGAATAGGAGTTGCGTGGTTAGGGTTGAGGTGTTATATGTATTGCATGTGGAATTAATTGTAATTTCGATGGTTTGTTGAGGGTAATTTTGTCCCAAAAATTTGCTGATTAATCAGTATATATATATATATATATATATTTTAAGAGGTAGTTGTATTATATAAAGGAATTTCTGGTTTTTATTTTTTTATTTTTCATTCTATAATAAAAATTATAATTTGAGATATTAACGTAAATTTCAAATTTTAAAAAAATGTAAATTATATTACAATAATAAAATAACTAACCATATATCAAATGTTATATATTTTTTCACTTTAACCAAATTTATAAGACATTTATTTTCATACAATATAAAATTTTATATGAAAATTTTTTATTATTTAAAGTAATGATTATAATAATAAATTATCTATTATTATTTTCTGTTAAATTATTTTTATTTACGTCATAAAAAAAAAAAATTTATATTAAATACCTTGTTTCTTAATTCTGTTTCAGTTCCCCCCGGAGGCCTTATCTCTCATTCTCATGTCTCTTTCCCTCAAATTCTCCGGCCTTTTCTCATCTATTTGGCCGTACCTGGTAATCTCCTTCTTCAACTTCTTTCTTTATTACCTTCTCTAATGGCTTACTTTCTTTCTTCTTCTTCTTCTTCTCTCGGCTTTTAATTTATGGTCTGTTGGTTCAAGGGTTTCAGAGAGTTTTCCCATTTAAGAGTTTACAGCACTTGCAGACGCTCATACTCACCCCAACCGAAGAACTTCTTCGTTTATCAACTAAATCGTAGACCTATTTGCTCTATCAACTGCAGCAGCAATAATGTCAGTGACTTCAGTTTCTGTATTTTGTTTTTACCCATGCTAATATATAGAGAGAATTTTAAACAATTACTTTTTTGAAGAAGAAAAAAAATTGAAGAACATGCGGTTCAACATTTCCATTAAACTTATGTTTCAAGTGAATTTTATTTCCATTGCTTATCATGGCTATGGTTTTTAGCAAATGGACCTCTTTTGGTTGCGAATATTGGTTAATAGTTCGTTCCATCCCTTGCAATCACACACAGATATGCATTGGTTCCTTTTGCTCTTTATTTCATCTCATTGCTATTATTGGTTAATTCACATAAATAAGTTTTCCAGATTTCTTGGGTTTGTAAATTTGTTCATCATATTACTTGTTTGGCTTCTCCCTGAATTAAATTATATATTTTTTGGTGTATGGTTAGGATTATGGCGGTTCATCAGATGCTACTCACAGCTTCTCGCCTAATGACAAAGGTTTTCATTTTATCCCCAAAATTGGGTTTCCCAATTTTACAGTTTGTCCACCAAAAGCATATGTATAAACAGGGAAAATAAGTATACTGGATGTCCATTTTGTGTATATAGCCTTCAAATTTTTGAGAATTTATTGGATAATTTTTGTTTTATTCTGTATGCTTTAATCTCATTTGTGTTTTTGATTCTTTCCAAGGTTCAGATGAAAATACTAGAAGTGGCTGGCAAGGATCACTCTCATCTAAAGAGTACTTACCATTTGCCTTAAAATGTACTAGCATGAGCTCACACAAAATATGTGGGTCTAAATCTTCTTCGCTTCTCGTTATCTGGATTCAGGAAAAGGAGCATAATTTTCATTTAAGCATTAAAATTCAAGTATCCGTGGTTTCTTTCATTAGTAAAAAGATGATCATAAGGCTTTTGATAGTATGGTTCTATTATATTGTAACAAAGAAGAGAAGCAAAGGAGGACATGAGTTCTAGTCCTTCTTCCCTTTGCTTCTCTTTCTTAGGCACTCATCCTATTTTGAAGGTACAAGTCCTGAGAATCTGAGTTGGATCTCTTAGTATCTTCTTTCTCTTTGCTTCTCAGCCTCCTCCAGCTTTTATAACATTACTTAAGTCCTAGCATCTCATGACTGCACGTTATTTATTGTGGCCATTGGAAAACAGGAGCAGAGAGTGGATAAGCAACATTTGATTTAGTTTGACTACCCTTTTGTCTCCTTATTTTCCTTTTCTATAAGAAATATTTGCGGAGCTCTCCTTTTCTAGTTGATACCTTTAGCATGTACAAATGTGACTTGGGAAAAAGAAACCAAACTCTGCTTCCTATTTTTTTAAAAAAAATTTTCTTTTAGATCTTGCATTGAGCATTTTTTTTAGGACTTGAAATCTTCTCCAGCTGTGTTTTTCTTAAATGTACATGGTAAGATGAATTGTCATTATGAGTTGATCTGCATTCCTCATTCTAGGACACTCCTTGTTTCTCTTGGTGTTAACATTATAATGACTAATGAAAATGAAAAAGAGGGAAGAGTGGAGGGATAGTGAGGTGATGATTGTATGTTAGAAATCTTTGTATCTTCTTTTTATGGCTGTCACTAGACTAACTTGTTCATGAACAGTTCATGCTTGGCTTGAGCAGTTATGTTAGTAGGGCCAAGCTTGAATTGAAATTTAGCTCATTATATGGTCATTAGCTTTAATTAGCTAAACCTAAACTCACGGGAATTTGATTCCAAAACTCACGAAGGTCTCGAATTATAGTTAATCCTTGATATTATTTTGAAACTTACGAGTATACATCTACTTATGTTTCAGTGGTATATTTACTAGAACTTAACAAATGATCTAAAAACATTATTCATATTAATGCAAATCTGAGTGTACTGAAGCTCAAACTTGAACTTATTGCACTCATTTTCTTATTTAGCTTAAATCAAGCCAAATTTTAGGCTTGAAACAATCCCAAATCTAGTTCCAAGTTGAATCTGAGTCATGATATTGAGCTAAACTAAGCTCGTATACTTAAACTTGTGTTCTTAGTTTGTTTCTACTAATATTTTTTTTTTATTATCTTGGGCTTGTTTATGTATTTTTACCGTTAGGTTTCCTTAATCTACTTTCAGGGTTTTGATGAGATTGAGGAGATACGGAGTTGCTGGAATATTATCATATGGACTATTGAATACAGCTTATTATCTTACAACATTTCTTCTGGTATGGTGAGTTAAATATTATGAACATATATCTTTGATTGTTGAATAACCTAGAACAGAATGGAATTCATGCCTCAATCTTTAATTTACAGCCCTTGACTGTAGCTTAGATTTGAACGATGTGAAAGAATTCAAGCTTCTGCTTGTATTACATGTTCACCTGCATAAACCACAAACTCAATAAAGTAAATTTAAAGTAATTCATGATGACAATGGCTAAGTAATCAATATCATCAGGCACAATTGCCTCTCCAAGAATCAGTAATAGAATATATTGGGAGAAGCCTCCCAGACTCTGTAGCAACCATGTAGGTCATTCAGATTATATAGTTCATGTACTAAAAGAGAATGCATTTGAACCTTAGGTTTTTTGTTGCTCCAGTACCTGGAAGAATGGGTTATATTGCAGCTGTTGAAAGGTGACGTGTTTTCTTTTCAAATGTTTTTTTATGAGTTGCGACTATGAGTTCTGAAAATTTTTGTCCTTACAGATTTCTCAAGGTAATGGCCATGGTATGGGCTGGAAGCCAAGTTACCAAGCTTGTAAGAGCTGGAGGGTGAGTTGCTGGAACTCTTGGGGCCCCACTTAAGTTGAGATCTTATAAGTTGATATCTTAATGCATCATTAATTCGATTTAGAAAAGAAAACTTTAAGTTGTGGTGATGGAAAGTAAATAAATTCTGCTTTCTCATATTTCCTTTTGAAGCTTTTGAGTATGAGTTTGTTCAATGCTTACTTGGCTTTCATCATTAATACTACATGCATGTTTTAACTGAACATTCATCTTAGACCTATATCTGTTTGCTTGGGAATTTGGCTATAGATCTTCCTTTAATTGCTCATTAGTCAAATCATTAGCCTTTTTTGTTTGGTTGCCTTGTAGTTGGGGATCTTGATTTTCACCTGGTTGAACCTGGGATATCAAAGGCTGTTGATAAGGATTTTATGTTAAGTAGAATACTATATTATTTAGAGTTCTAATAATATAATTATATTTTATAATTAGAGTTCAAATAGAATAAGAATAACTACTCTATATATATCTTCTAAATGTAAACAAAACAAGAAATAAAAAATTAGAAATTTATTTTTTCTAAAAACTTCATGATATCAAACCGCCGGTAAAAGGCTGCAGCCGCACATTCGCAAACGTCGGTAAAAATTAAAGCCACACATTCGCAGGCGTCGATAAAAAGTGTAGCCGCACCTCCGAAAGCACTAGTAATAATATACAACTGCACGACCATAAGTGCTGGTAAAAAGTTGCAATCGCACATCCTCAAGTGCCAGTAAAAAGGTGCGGCCGTACATCTGGAGACGTTGGTAAAAATTATAGCCGCACATCTAGAAATGTTAGTAAAAAATTACACCCGCACATCAATAAATGCAGGTAAAAAAGGCCACATCATTACCTTTTTTCTGCGCATGTTCAGAGATTTGTCCGAAGAAGATGAGCCAAGCCGACTTTGAGCCGTTTTAGAGCTAAGTTTGAGTCGTTTTAGAACTAAACCCGAGTTGTTTAGAGCCGAACCAGATCTGCTTCCGTTTTTTGGCTCCTTGGTGCAGATAGAAGGTTCATTTTTCATTACTGGGTATTTTTTCTTCTTATTTTTAGTATTCTAAAATGACAGAAGTAAAAGAGTGAGTGTTACTAGTTTTGATAATTTTTCGTTGCAAATTAGTTGCGTAAAACTTGGTGGAACTAATTATCTTACTTAGTTGAGATCTTGTTTATTGTTCATCAAATCTAGAGGATTGCAGGGTTACATTACTAGTAAGATGAAGAAAACAGATGTTAGTAGTTTAAAATATAATAGATGAGATTCTGAGAGCTCATTGGTAATGTCATGACTCATAAATTTTATGCAACCTTATATTGTCAGAACATATCTGTTGCTTAACACTGCCAAAAAAATATAGAATGCAGCATCTCTTACATATTCACAGATGGATAATGACGTTTAGATTTATGAACTCTGGGATAAAGTTCATGGTACAAAGTAAGAAGAAATAACTATTTCTCAATATTTTTCTAAACTAAATAAATTATGGCAGGAGTTGGATTACTATCAAGATTTTCAAGTGGAGTGTCATGCGGATGGAGTTAAATTGATAGAAAAAGAGCAAATTTATAATTTTTTAGCTGATTTGAATACCGAATATGATCAAATACGGGTTTAAGTGCTTGGTAATGATCATTTTACTTCATTAGAACAAACTTATGCTTATATTTAGCAAGAAAATAGTAGAAGAAATATTATGCTTCACATTGCACCAGTTGAGAAAGCTGGATTAGTTGCTCAGTCTGATCAATTCAGATATATATAGAAATGTAACTATTGTGGCAAGCCAAGACACACTAGGAAAACTTGTTGAAAGTTGCATGAACGACCATTTAGAGGTCGGGGAGGAAGAAGAAGTGGAACCACAAGAGCTCAAGCAAATTTTGTTGAAGCTAGGGAAACACCTGGTTCACCATCCATTGGAGCCTTTTCCACAGAAAAAATTCAAAATGTGAAGCGGCTTTTGAGTCAACTTAACTCTCCATCAACTATTGGCACATCAAATATGGTAAAATTAGGTATTGTTCATTCTATTTCCACTCCTGATAATTGGATCATAAACTCTGGAGTTAACAGACGCATGACAGACTCTTCTAAAAAATTATTAACCTATTCTTCTTGTAAAGGGGATAATGTCCGTATAGCAAATGGGTCATACACCCCCGTGTCGGGAACAGGTTCCATTAATTGTATTTCTACTATTACACTGTCTTCAGTTTTACATGTGTATAGTTTTTCTGATAATATTTTATCTATAAGTGTCATATCTAGAGATCTTAACTGTAAAATTGAATTTTTTCCCGATCATTGCATCTTTCAAGATCTTCAAACCGGGAAGAGGATTAACACTAGTAGACTGTAAGATGACTTACATGTCTTGAATAGACATCTGAATTTAATTGGAAATCATGCAACCATTGAGAATAAAGAAGTCAATATGGAGATACTACAATGGCACACGATTGGGACATCCTTCCTTTTTTGTTTTAGAAAAATTATATCGTAAATTATTCAAAAGAACCTCTATGGAGTCTTTATTTTGTGATGCATGCGAACTTGCTAAACATAAGAGAAGCTCTTATCATTTAAGTAATAATAGATGTAACGACTCCGAAAATTTAAAGAAAATGTATGTATTAAAATGTTCTAAGTGCGGAAGCGAAATAAAAATTATGATTAACATCTCTTACACAATAACCAAAAACGTTTTCAACGTGTGAAAGAATAAACTAAGTAAGGTAAATACTAGTAATGAATGCTATAAATAAAACTATGAAATCCTTAGGCGTCTACTTGCCGTCTTCCTGCGGGACGGGCTCGGGAACCAAATCCTCCTGATATGAAATGGTTAAATAAGGAATGAACTACACTAGCCCAATAAAGACATCACACTATCTCACTGTCACAGAAGTAAAGGTTGGTAGAAAACAAAAAACGACCAATGGAGCATAATTTATAACAAACTCATTTATTAATAATAAAAACCTTTACTGTCCACTTAACTCGGTGAGTTTCGTGAAAATAACATATGAAAACAATAACATTATAACCATCATAAAATCATATACACTTTGTAACGTAACACATGTTATACTTTTGTACTTCAATAATCAGACAACAAATTTTCTCTTTTACTAGCCTACTAGTATCCATGGGGATCCATAGGGGGTCTCCGCTACACGTGAACCATTAACATTAATAACTTAATTACAGGGCCGTCTCTATACCCCGTCCGGTATGGGCGCCAAATCATAAAGTCTCCATACCCCTGTCCCGTATGAGAGATCATGTTCCCGGTAGGCTTTCCTACGGACCCGGTCCGTCCACCATCTCCCAAGATATCTAGTTAGGCTGTCGACATTATCTATTTATCAATTCACATACTTTTTTTTTTTGTCTCAATTATCCAATCAAATATAAACACGTAAAACAGTAATGAACATCAAACAAGACAACAACGGGTTCACGATAATTCAAACCATAATAAACGAAACCGTGGTTCATGCATACGAAACCATAAAATAAATACATCAGATACCATACTGCATTCTAAACTGTAAAATAAATCAATCAACAACTGACCGAAAAATACATCAGACTCGGGCTCCATTAGCAAACTTAATTAATTATACACAATTCATAAAATACCGTTTTATCATTTATTGAGTTTTAATACCGTGATAGAAAATAGGGTGAGAAATCTTTACATGTTTCGGGGTCTGAAATCGGCTTTACACCGCGCCTACGGGCAGTCCTTAGATTCTCTAAATTTTCTCCCGGGAACTGAAATACACTTCCGGTACCTGCACGTGTCCCCAAAAAATCTCAAATCAGACCCAGGGCCCTTTTGGTCAATATCGGAATTCCAGCACGGCGGCTCCGCCATGCTCCGGCGACGGCATCGTCGCACGCGGCGGCGATCTACCTCGGGTTGGCTGTTTTCGGCCAAACTTGCATTGGTTCCTGCGATAAAACAACCCTAGGGCCATCAGTGAGCCAAAAAATTACGAAAAATCATGACTTACCGGCGGCAGAGCTCTCGGGTGCGGCAGCTTCTCCGCCGCGAGTCGCGATTTGATGTTTTGCTCCGGTCAACCTATAGAGAAAAGGACGGTAATAGTGGTGTAAAAATTGCATCGAATGGGAACCGGGAAGGGCCTCATCGGAGGCAAAAATCAAGGGAAGTCGCGGCGGCGCCGCTGGACTTCGACGGTGTTTTCCAGCCGATTGGCCGGTGCTTTGGCTCCGATTTGGCCATAGGCGGATTCATCATCGAAAAACGAACCAATGAGATAAAATTTACCTCGTTTGGCGGTCGGAAAATCCTCCAGTGCGGCGGCAGGTGGCGGCAGCCGGCTCTTCCGGTGACTGGTTCTTCTTCTCTGGCGAGGGTATTGGCGGCTAGGGTTTAGGGTTGGGTGTGGATGAGGTTATTTATAACCTTTCTCTTTTAATCTCAGCCGTCCATCACGATTTAATTTGGGCCGTCCGATCGCGATTAAAATGGGAATAAATATGGGTCGTCCATCGCGATGCGATCTAGGCCGTCCGTGCGTGATTCAATCTGGGTCGTCCGCACGCGTGAGATCTGGACCGTTCGATCGCGTGCACACGGATCGCCCACATGGCTTCGTCCCGCGTCAGCTTCCTTGCCACGCAGTGTGTTCTGGTTAGCCGGGGTTGCTGACTGGGCTGCTGACGTGGCACAACTTTTCTAAATTGCGTTTTGACCTCCAGTTTTCGATTTTCTTTTCAAAAACACTCTCAGAATTCAAATTTTCACCCATTTTTTCCAAAATCAATTTCAATTAAATTCCAAAAATAATTTTACTCTATTTTATTTTATTTTATTTTATTCTATTAAATTAAATTAAAACCTTATAAATTAAATATTAAAATAGAATAAAATTAAACAAAAATTCTAATAAAAATTAAAATATATTAAATACTAAAAATACAATTTTTTGGGTGTTACAACTCTCTCCCTCTTAAA